AGAAGAGGACAGGGCTGCAGCAACCTGCACGGAGGAGCAGGGGAGGAAAGGAGAGCCCCAGCCTGGTTTGCTCTGCTGGTAGAAGGCCGTTATGATACCGGGCTAGACAGAAGTTCTCTTTTGGACGAGCTGGTACCGAGGTGCCACGGATGTCGGGGTGCGGTTGTGGTGGTTGGGGGGGTCTGCAGGTGTGGATCGGGGTCCTCGGGTGCAGGACCCTGGGGGAGAGCTCGAGGCAGCGGCCTAGAGCTCCGGACAGCAATTTTCTGGGCAACAAGAGGTTGTGTTCCAGGGGCATCTGAGGTGCTCCGGGTCACCAAGCGTCTTTGGAGCCAGCCAGCTTGTCATCAGCATCAGGACCTTACGCACCTGCTTGCACCTGTTTTTGCATTTGCAAACTAAGCACAGTCACAGTATCTGCCTCGAAGAAAAGTGCTCGCTGTTTTCAGTGTCGTTAAGGAGCCGTGGCTAAAGCGGCACCCAGGAAGAAGAGGCCGCCCTGTGGAAGTGACTCACGTCCCGGCCTTCTAAGCTGCCGGGCTTCCCGGGTCCTAATCCCTCCGCGGCCTGTAATTCCCAGCACGGCCACCAGGCGGGGCGCGCGCCGAGGCGGGCGGCGGTCACGACCCGGAAGCGCTTCCCTCGGTGGCTGCTCGGTGGAGATGGCGGCGGCGGGGGCCCGGGGTCCCGGCAGGCCGCGTAGCGCTGCACGGTGCACGCCGCGCGCCTCCCGAAGCCCGCCTCCGGCTGGAAGCTGCTCTCTCGCCTCTGGCCGCCGGCGTAGTACCCGGGCGAGTGGTCGCTGGGTAGGTAATCGCCCTGTGAATATTCCTCGCACGGAGGGAACTTGGGATCGACATAGTTTGAGTTGATCAAAAAAGAACTCATAGCCATTAATTTCTGGGAATTGCCCACAAAATATACTAAAATTTATTCCGACCCCTGACTCGTTTTCCTGTTCCGAAAGCCCTCCTACTTACTGTCAAGTGAACAAAGTTAGGGGCCACGTGATCCTCCGAGCCAATAGCCACCCCGCCTGCGATTCCCGGATAAGGAAATCTGCTCACCCGGACCCTACTCCAGCCAAAGAGCTTTATTTCCCCTTCTTCGCTTCCCCCTCCCCACCCAGTCAACACCAGGATTTACATAGGGCTCCTGCGGGGCGACCCCCTCCTCGCTGCGCTCTCAGAGATCCGAGAGGCGCTGAGGGCAGAGAGCGCCAGGGCGAGCAAGCGTGGACCCAAGGCCTGCTGGAGCGCTGGGCGGAGCATGATCCCACATTCCCTTGAAGTTGGGGTTCCCGATGTAGCCCCTGTTGTCCTGCCTCACCTCTGCCTGGCATTCTGCGCTTCCCAAAGGGCTCCTGCTCCTCCCCAGGGCGAGAGGAAGCCCCGTACGCCCAGCGGCGTCCCTGTGGGGAGCTCAGTGGCTGGCGGGCTGGGGGCTCCTCCTCGAAATGGGGAGCTCACTAGGGGCGAGGGGCGCTGAGCTTGGGGCTTTTCTCTGCAGCCCGATGAGGAGGGGTAGGGGTGAGCGAGGAGGCGTGGGGAGCCGGAGGGCGGGTGCGCAGAGGGACTTGTCAGAGATGAATGGAACCGCTAGCGGATCGATAGGAAATGCATGCACTAATTCGGGGAGACCTCGCCTTCCAAATCGCATTTAGCTGCACTGTTAGCTTGGCTATCTCAGTCGACCCGTCTGTCCCCCTGCTGCTAGCCACTCCCCCGGCCCAAGCCGAGAGAAACGGCTTGGTTTCCCACGTTGAAGATGAGCGCGGGAGTCAAAACCCTGCAAGTTGTGAAAGCAAACTGAATAACAACTTGCTAATTCCAGAACCAACCGAGCAGTACTAACTGTGGCGCCCAGTCCTTCTAATTGCCGCTAAATTGCAGCTTCCGAGGCGAATAGAATCATCGCGACCTGGTGGTGCTGGGGACAGACGCGCTAGCTCACCCCACACACCCAGTGACACCCTGTCAATCGTGTATTTCCAAGGCGCCTTGTTCTGAACGCAAACGGAAAGTGGACCTCCGCATCCGTTTGAAAAGTGAATTTCCTTTGCCTTGGCATACTGCAGAAAACAGTCTTTTCTTTTCTTTTTGAAAACAAGTCTTTTCAAAAAAAGTTCCAGTAAAGCCCCCTCCAGCCCAGGGTAGGTGGGCTTGTGACAAGAGGATAAATTAAAAAACATCAATAACAGTAACTTCTTAAGACAAGTGGAAAAGGATCAAAGCTCCCAGGGGCAGGCAGGAGCTGAGCTCAGGTAAAGGATTCCTCCATCTCTAAGCACTGGAAGGGGGACAAGAAAAAGGAAGAAAGAAAAAGAAGAGCGTCTTCTCGTAGTCAGCCACTGAATTGTCCTCATTTAGAAAAATAATATAGATACTTTTTTCTTTCTGGAAAAAATGAGCGGAGTGTTTATGTCAACTACATATTCCCCTAGATACGAATTTGTGACCCTAAAATTCCTTACACAAATTCGGACCTACAGGGTATATACAGAAGACAGACAGATCTTCTTGGCCCAGGCATTTTCCAGTTCTACTTTTCTGCGCGTTCTTCTTTGGGGGGGTGGTCGGAGCGCTTTCATTTTACTGCGTTTTGTTCTAGTAAGGCTCTGCGTCCATTCTCGGGATTACAAGGTTTTCAACTCTCAGACAGAAACAGAAGCAGACGGTCTGCTGAGAGAAGCGAACCTCCCGGCGGCCGGGGAACTCGGTGGCGCATGAATTATGAGACGTAAACATTAGCTACGCACAAAAGGAGGAAGGGTCATCCCGAGGCTGCGGAGGAGTTAGAATCAGGCCCCTGGGTGCCCTCGCGCCCCCCTCCCCCTAGGACTGTATTTTTTAAAAAAGAAAAAAAAAAAAAAACCCTAATCGGCTCCTTCAGCGCCCTTCACAGCCTTAGTTTTTGGATCAAACGAATATCGAGATATTTTTCCAAAGCGCTTCTTAGCAAAGGGAGGAGGGAGAGGCGGCTGGGTGTGAAGGGGGTGTAATAAAAGTCCTTTTGGAAAAGTCAATGGTAAAAAGAGAGAGAAACAGCTGTAAAGAAAAATGCTGGGAGACCAAGCAGATGGGGCCCCGGATATTTAACGACGGGCAATTCCGTTTACAACCTGAGAAAAGATCAAAGGCGTTTCATTTCCGAATGAAGGGCAATGAGGGACCATAAAGGATGCTGCCAGATGATGCGCAGGCCCCTCCTGCCTCCTGAAGCCCCTGGGGGCCAGAATGGGGGAGAGGATTCCCTAGAGGCTTTGCAAGGGTCCTGACCCCCCACCTCTCCAGCCCCAGGTGGGTCCCCTCTGTCTGTCTAAAGTCACCACTGGCTCAGCCACCTGCTTGGGCGGCTGGCAGTAGGGCCCAAAAGAGGAGCTGGAGCTTCTGAACCCACTTTCTGAGGCCCCCAGTAACTCCTGAATTTTACTATACTGGCACACCACTGGGGATCGAGCTAGACAGAACTCAAGCCTAGACTGCGAATGCTGTGGCCAGGCGGGAGCTCCCCGTGCAGACCCCCTCACCCATGTCCTCAGATTGGAGAGCTACCTCCCTGCAGGAGCAATTCAAAACCAACAAATTCAGGGGCAAATACGGCGGTGGGCCAGAACCCCTCTCTAACCACCACACCCCAGAGACCTCTCGGGAGACCTGCCCACCTCTAGACCAGACTCCTGAAAGTGGGTAGGTAGGCAGGGCTCCTAGCTGCTGGTGAGGAGATCCAGAGGTCCTCTGTTGTTGTTTTCAATATCCCAAATCTATTCATTGCCAATGACGACCTCTGGGCCTGGTTTTTAATACCACCATTCTCCCAGGTAAGGAACCGGGTCTGCACAGTAATTGAGGGGGACCCCAAAATGGCTACATTACATTGCAGTCTGTGCCAACAGAGGATCCAGTAGATAGCCTCAGACCCCAACTGGGCACCCAGACAGACCACAGTCTGGCTCCAGACCCACGTGGCACCAGGTTCCCCAATACCAACCAAAGACCTTTGGAAGCCTTCTCCAAAGCCGCCTGGGGCCTCCGGGACCCACTGCAACGGCTCGGCCCCTCCCCCACCCCATACCTCCAGTCCTGCCTGCTCCTGGAAGCCCTCCGGCCCGCAGGCAGTTCGGTGTGGGAGGGCTGCAGGACTGGGTTCAGGGCCTCTCTGCTGCTTTGCTCCACGCAGGATGAGGCTCAGGCTCCCACAGCATCCCAAGAGCGATCCCTGGGGCGCGGAGCCACCACGGGCTTGGGCACAGTTGATCCTGAGCGCAAAGACATTCTTCTCTGCGCACAGGGACCGCCACCTGCTCTTCCCACCAGAGCACCGCACCCAGGCCGGCCCGGCCCGGCCCCGGCAGGGTCAACGGCCAGGGGAGGAGGACAAGGTCTATCAGGCACTCCCAGGACCGGTTTGCAGGAGGAGGAGGAGGAGGAAGTTGCCTTCCCGGTCCTCACCCAGAATACCAAGAGCAATAGCATAATAGGAAGAAAAGCTAGGCGCTCACGCGCTCCGAGCCACCTCTCAAGCGCTCCCGGGACACTGGGCGGCTGCCCGGCCCAGCCGCCTTCTCCAGGCAGCCACAGGTTGCCCGCGTGACCTCACGCTGCTCAGACCCTCACCCCGTCACCCCGGGCGTGCCTAGACCCCAAAGAATCATCCACCTTTGTGGACTCAGAAGAAGCGACGCAGCGCACGAGGGAAGGCGAAGGGCCCAGCGACGCGAGCGCTAAATCGGCCTGCGCCCTGGCGCGGCGGCGCGGACCCGGAGCTCCGGAGCGGAGCGGGGCGGAGCGGGCGCGAGTACTCACCGGGCGGCTCCCCGCGCCCTCCCGGCCGGCCGACCGGGGGACCTGCCGGCTCTGCTGGGCAACAGCTGGGCTCACTCGAGTCCACCATTGTGAGTCCGGAAAACCAAACCTCGGCTTCGGGCCGAGGAGTCCCCGGCCCCCTCGGAGGCCGGAACAGGACTTTTTTTCTTCTTTTTTACTATTTTTGTTTTTGAAGCGCAAGTTTTCGTATTAATCTCATACTTTGGCAGTCTTTGTTAAACAGCTAGGCGCGTCACGAGGCTCTTGAACATTTTAATAATTTTTAGACGCCGTGACCTGCGGTTCACCCCTCTCGCGGCCTCCCCCACGAGCAGGCGGTGGCTCTAATATGCTGGCGCGGTTTGCTCGGTCATATTGAATTTTGCGCAGGCCATTACTTGGGAGAAAAATGACAGAGCAGGAATTTGATTCTGTTCCTCCTGTCCAGCGTGACTTTTCCCCAGAACCTTTCATCCAACCCCCCAAAAAGTCCCATTAGGGTAGGGTTCAGGCTGCCCCGCCCCTGCTTTGATTTTCTATCCTTCCTGTATTTTTTTGGTCGGGAAAGAGTGCGATTCCACAGGGAAGCTTTTTGAGGCCTGGGTAGGAGGCCGGCACCCTGCAAAGCTGGTGGGCACTGGGCACCAGAGAGCAGGCCTAGGCCAGAGGCCCCTTCCCTCTACATTCTGCACTGACTGGGCCTGTCCCCCAGCCCATCCTATACATACTCTATCCACCCAGTGATACCCCACTTCTGCCCAAGCCTTGGGAGCTTCAGGGCCTCAAAAATAACTTTTCCATCTCTTGCAGAGAAGCATTTGGTCCACAGCCAGCACATTTGGGAGAAAGTGAGAGAGAACCCTGAGATGGGCATTGCCCACAATGATCAAAACAAGGGACCTGGAGACTTGACTTTCAGATTTGGCTTTTGCCCTTTAAAAACAGAATCAGACAAAGGGTTTTTTTTTTTTTTTTAAAAAAAAAAAAAAGGGAAAAAAAAAAAAAAAAAGAAAAGAAAAGAAACTATTCTCCCAGACCCAGCAACTGCTCTGCCTGCCCCTAGCACTTCATGGGGGTTCCAGGGCAAATAGAGAGGCCTGCGAATCACTTTCTAGGCTTGTTGTTCTAAGATTAGAACCCAGTAATCCCTACAGCCTATGTCTTGATTCCTCCAGTCCTCAAAGGACCACAGAGAGGGGTCAGATGACATCCTTTCTACCTAGTTCAAGGCTTAGGTCTAAGAGGAGGGGGTGGGCTGATAGCCTGGGGTCAGAAAAGTGCTTCACAAGCAAGCCAGTTTGAGCAGACCCTGGGCTCCTGCAGTCTATTGTGCAAAGTTCCAAATTAACCACTCTGTCCCGGAATGAAGGAAAGGAAACCGAAGGGGACAGAAAGAGATGGATCCTCCCTTTCAGGCTTTGACCTCTGAGTCCCCAACACTCCAGGAATTCCTCCCTGGCCTGACACCCCAAAATAGGTCCCTCAAGGACTACGTGGAAATAGAGACCTGCACCCTGTTAGGTTAGAAAAACTAGGCATCAAGTTGACTTAAAATTTGTTTTTAAGCCTTTTTTCTATTCTGGCCGTGTTTCCAAAGGCATCTTTCCTGAGGTTATCTTCATTCTGCAAGGACAAACACCCACAGAGCACCTCCTCTATTAAGTGTTTGGAAAAAGACTGTAATGACATTTCATAATGCAACAGTCATTTAAAGACCCAAAATAGGCACATGCCCTGGTGGTGTAATTACAGTCTCTCTGAGTGGTTTACTTATGAGCAGAGCTTAATGTATGGACTGGAGGTTCATTTCAGGACGCCTGTTTCAGCTGCAGTTAGAAAGATCTCCCTGAGACTATTCGGTATTTTTCCTTTGCGCTTCTTCTTCCTGTTCCAAATAGGAAGACGGGGAGCCAAGATTTACACCCCAAAGGGGCTTGGAAGAGGGGGAGAACCGACAAGCTAATTGACTTTCAATATCCTAGTTTTTTAAAACAAGGCAAAGAGATCGAAATGAGAGTTTAAGAAGCTTCTGGGGCTAGTCCGTGGCCTTGAGCTCCAGCCCCTAGGCCCAGGCTGGAGGGTTGGGGGGGTCTCTAAAGTCAGGCCTACTGGGGGTTGGGTGGAATTGGCCCGAGGTTGGCCTTTTAGGGCAAACAGGGTGGGCAGCAAGCCTTTACCTTGGCAGCTTTCTTTGGCCCTGCTGAATGTCCTGCAAGGGCGTGTGGGTAATTGGATTTTTCAAATGTGTGCAGCTGGGTAAGTTTTAATTAAATCTTATATGGTGACTCAAAGGTTATCTTTGGGAGAGAAAATTGTGCAGATTCGCCACACCCAAGCAAGCGCTGTCTTTTGTGCAGCTCTCTGGCCACCACCACTGATTTTTGTATTGTTGTCTTTTTTTTTTTTCTTCCAGAGGGCTTGCTTCCTTCCTCAGTTTCTCCTTTCCCAGCCACTGGCCTCACCCTGCCCAGCCGATCTAGCACTCCCAGCCTCCTGGCGCGCATCTCCGCTCCTTCTGGCCTCCTCCCCCTCGGTCCCCACCCCCGCCGCCGCTAGACGCCTCACGTCCCTAGCTCACGCACGCTGTAAACTTTTGACCCTCCAACTTTG